AGCGAATCTTTAACAACAACAACAAATATTGTATCAACCACCTGATTAAAATCAAATGTAGTTTAAAAAGAAAAAAGCGAAAAGAGGTGTTGATCACATTAAATGAGTACACGAGACAGCCGAGTGCATAATAAGAGTGTAGCGATGCAACTCACCAACACTCTGGGGTCGGAAGGAGTACATGAAATGCAGGTCGATAGTCCTCGCCAGTGAACCGTTCATGTCCTGCAACGCTCGATCCAGACCTGTCCAAAAATGGTCGCTAGTTAATGTGGTTGATTGTGGTGGGGTGGTAATTGTGGCGGGGGGGGTGTGGTAGGGTGGTAATTATGGTAGTGGTGTATGGTAGGGTGGTAATTATGGCGGTGGTGTGTGGTAGGGTGGTAATTATGGTAGTGGTGTATGGTAGGGTGGTAATTATGGCGGTGGTGTGTGGTAGGGTGGTAATTATGGTAGTGGTGTATGGTAGGGTGGTAATTATGGCGGTGGTGTGTGGTAGGGTGCTAATTATGGTAGTGGTGTATGGTAGGGTGGTAATTATGGCGGTGGTGTGTGGTAGGGTGGTAATTATGGTAGTGGTGTATGGTAGGGTGGTAATTATGGCGGTGGTGTGTGGTAGGGTGGTAATTATGGCAGGGGTGTGTGGTAGGGTGATAATTATGGTTAAGCATGGTCTTTAGAGCGGAAGTTATTGATTCAGGGGCCACGCAGCACTAGCTGGATGTGCCCCCGGATTGTGCCCCGTGTAGGGATAAAAGCAAAGCAGTGCGGATATATATATTTACAGCGTGCGTCCCCTGTTGATGATCACGGGAGACATCTCCCGTCACGCAGGGTGCAGTCGCACCTCCACAGATCTCCAGTATCAGCTCTTGATACTGGTAATGGCTCAAAAGGGCCACCATTTACGGGCTATTCATGCCCGTGCCACCCTTTGGGTGAGTTACTCTTCATCAATCAATCAATCGCCTGTTGATGAAGAGCAAGTTACAGCCACGCTCCTATGCCAGGTAAGTCCACTACGGGCTCACCATAGCCCGTGCTACTTGGAACTTTTTGTTCCGAGTAGCTGAATCTTATACAACAACAACAAGCCTGTTGACGATAAATTACCGTGCCTTACGGCAGATAGTCACTACTGTTATGTCTATATGTATGGAGAGCCGCTAGAGTCCCCCGGGAAAGCGGGAGCCGGACTCTGCAACCCACAGAAAACAGAAATTGTGTCTCAAAACTCCTATGGGCACGCGAAATAATTCGTTTAGATCATTGCCAATTTGGGCACAAGCTCTCTAAACGGTTCGCCAACCCTGCCCTAGGCCAACCAAAGACCTTTCCCAGGATGCAACCCCACAACAGTTGCCTAATTCTTGGGTACCTATTTATGCTTCGGTGCTTCATCATTTGTAAGGAAACGTGCGCAACCATTTCTGTCAAGGAATGATCATGTAATAGATATGGCGGGAAAATTTAAATAAACAGTAAAATTGAGGAAAGTATACTGAAATGGTTTTGGCCAAGTAGAGAGAACGGATGATATGATGATAGACTGGCGACGAGGCGACGAAAGAGTTTTCAAGTGAAAAATTTGAGTCCCGCCGGGGCGGTTGGAGTGGTTAAGTGAAGCCTCGTAGCAAAATATTTTAGTGTAAAATCCAGAACAATTATATATATATATATATATATATATATATATATATATATATATATATATATATATATATATATATATATATATATATATATATATATATATATATATATATATATATATATATATATATATATATATATATATATATATATATATATGTCGTACCTAGTAGCCAGAACGCACTTATCAGCCTACTATGCAAGGCCCGATTTGCCTATTAAGCCAAATTTTCTTGAATTATTTGTCTTTCGACAACCTAACCTACCTAACCTAACCTAACCTAACTTTTTCGGCTACCTAACCTAACCTAACCTATAAAGATAGGTTAGGTTAGGTTAGGTAGGGTTGGTTAGGTTCGGTCATATATCTACGTCAATTTCAACTCCAATAAAAAAAATTTACCTCATACGTAATGAAATGGGTAGCTTTATCATTTCATAGGAAAAAATTAGAAAAAACATATTAATTCAGGAAAACTTGGCTTATTAGGCAATTCGGGCCTTGCATAGTAGGCTGATAAGTGCGTTCTGGCTACTAGGTACGACATATATATATATATATATATATATATGTGTGTGTATATATATATATATATATATATATATATATATATATATATATATATATATATATATATATATATATATATATATATATATATATATATATATATATATATATATATATATATATATATATATATATATATATATATATATATATATATATATATATATATGTCGTGATGGTCAAGCGGATTAAGGCGTCCCTGTACATACCAGTTGTGGGAGTATGGGTTCGAGTCACTTCTGGGGTGAGTTTTCAGTTATATATGTGTGTATATATATATATATATATATATATATATATATATATATATATATATATATATATATATATATATATGTCGTACCTAATAGCCAGAACGCACTTCTCAGCCTACTATTCAAGGCCCGATTTGCCTAATAAGCCAAGTTTTCATGAATTAATGTTTTTTCGTCTACCTAACCTACCTAACCTAACCTAACCTAGCTTTTTTTGGCTACCTAACCTAACCTTACCTATAAATATAGGTTAGGTTAGGTTAGGTAGGGTTGGTTAGGTTCGGTCATATATCTACGTTAATTTTAACTCCAATAAAAAAAAATTGACCTCATACATAGAGAAAAGGGTTGCTTTATCATTTCATAAGAAAAAAATTATAGTAAATATATTAATTCAGGAAAACTTGGCTTATTAGGCAAATCGGGCCTTGAATAGTAGGCTGAGAAGTGAGTTCTGGCTACTAGGTACGACATATATATATATATATATATATATATATATATATATATATATATATATATATATATATATATATATATATATATGTCGTACCTAATAGCCAGAACGCACTTCTCAGCCTACTATTCAAGGCCCGATTTGCCTAATAAGCCAAGTTTTCATGAATTAATGTTTTTTCGTCTACCTAACCTACCTAACCTAACCTAACCTAGCTTTTTTTGGCTACCTAACCTAACCTTACCTATAAATATAGGTTAGGTTAGGTTAGGTAGGGTTGGTTAGGTTCGGTCATATATCTACGTTAATTTTAACTCCAATAAAAAAAATTGACCTCATACATAGAGAAAAGGGTTGCTTTATCATTTCATAAGAAAAAAATTATAGTAAATATATTAATTCAGGAAAACTTGGCTTATTAGGCAAATCGGGCCTTGAATAGTAGGCTGAGAAGTGAGTTCTGGCTACTAGGTACGACATATATATATATATATATATATATATATATATATATATATGTCGTACCTAGTAGCCAGAGCGCACTTCTCAGCCTACTATGCAAGGCCCGATTTGCCTAATAAGCCAAGTTTTCCCGAATTAATATATTCTCTTTATTTTTTTTCTTATGAAATGATAAAGCTACCCATTTCATTACGTATGAGGTCAATTTTTTTTTATTGTAGTTAAAATTATCGAAGATATATGACCGAACCTAACCAACCCTACCTAACCTAACCTAACCTATCTTTATAGGTTAGGTTAGGTTAGGTATCTGAAAAAGTTAGGTTAGGTTAGGTTAGGTAGGTTAGGTAGTCGAAAAGACATTAATTCATGAAAACTTGGCTTATTAGGCAAATCGGGCCTTGCATAGTAGGCTGAGAAGTGAGTTCTGGCTACTAGGTACGACATATATATATATATGTGTATATATATATATGTCGTACCTAGTAGCCAGAACTCACTTCTCAGCCTACTATTCAAGGCCCGATTTGCCTAATAAGCCAAGTTTTCCTGAATTAATATATTTACTATAATTTTTTTCTTATGAAATGATAAAGCTACCCTTTTCACTATGTATAAGGTCAATTTTTTTTTATTGGAGTTAAAATTAACGTAGATATATGACCGAACCTAACCAACCCTACCTAACCTAACCTAACCTATATATATAGGTAAGGTTAGGTTAGGTAGCCAAAAAAAGCTAGGTTAGGTTAGGTTAGGTAGGTTAGGTAGACGAAAAAACATTAATTCATGAAAACTTGGCTTATTAGGCAAATCGGGCCTTGCATAATAGGCTGAGAAGTGAGTTCTGGCTACTAGGTACGACATATATATATATATATATATATATATATATATATATATATATATATATATATATATATATATATATATATATATATATATGTGTGTGTGTGTGTGTGTGTAGCCGAACTTAACCTAACACTATCAACATTGACACAAGGGAAAAGGCAGTTATCAGCGAACGAAACATTTGGCGGCCGAGATGACTGGCTAGTTTTTGCATTCCGTTATACTGAAAGGGAGAACAAGATCAAGAAAACCTCTTAGTCACTGACTGCCGAGTCTAGTTATAACAGCTTGAGACGGCCCTTGTCAGACTGATAACGATCTCTCCCCTAATTACGGGTGATTAGCTCAGACGTTGACAGGGGGCAAACAACTTTAACGAAGGAGACAGATGGAGGTGTGAGGGAGATACAGACGGAGGTGTGAGGGAGATACAGACGGAGGTGTGAGGGATGAGGTACAGTCGCAGGTATGAGGAGGGAGGAACAGACGGACGTACGAGGAAAGATATTTTTTATATTAATCGATAGTTAAACATTAATAGAATTTCAAGAAAATAGATCTAAGCTAACGTTATGTATTTACAATATACTAATTTAACATATGCAGCAGTTTTCTGTTCCCAAAGTATATAAATTAACACACACAGAGATCACACTAACGTGATGCATCAAATGAACAAATCCTCGTCACGGCCCTTGTGGATTTCTTGTTTATATATAAATTAAGTATACAAAAGCGCTTACTACGAAGTTCAACAATTAAGATTAGGCTTCAGTTCTGAGAAAGAGATGAAAAGACACACTTTATTCTCTGAATGTGTCTCGTTGTGTCAATTTTATGATAACAGAATAGTTCAGGTGTATTCTAGGGAGGGCGGACCGAAGGCCACTCATCCACACTAACATAATCTAACTAACTTATTCAGTATGACCAAGAAACCACCTATCAACTCATGAAATTTGACCTCTGTGATCCTGAAGTATAGCACTATCCTCTCCCGCCTCCTTCATTATCGCGCGCAAATTGAGTCAGCTGACACGTGACTCTCAATGGCGGGAAAATTGAGTCACGTGACCGTGTTGGGCCAATCACGCGCCATTCACCAATAATTACGTCACCATGACACGTGCAACGTCAAAAATGAAATGGAAAATATCTATGGGATTCCTGCCATCTCAGCAGTTGCCGCTTAGGCAATGTATGTGATGTTGACCAGACCACATACTAGAAGGTGAAGGGACGACGACGTTTCGGTCCGTCCTGGACCATTCTCAAGTATGTATATACTTGATGTATTGTGTATTCTCAAGTATGTATATACACCGAGAAGGGAGTGGAACACTTCTCTCGGTGAATATATTCCTTCACCGTCATGAACAATATGAATGAGTGTGAAGAACAGGAGCTGTCCGCTAGTGAGTCACGACATTGTTCCATGTATTGCTTATTTGGGCAGGTGGAGAGAGAGAGAGAGAGAGAGAGAGAGAGAGAGAGAGAGAGAGAGAGAGAGAGAGAGAGAGAGAGAGAGAGAGAGAGAGAGACAGAGAGAGACAGAGAGAGAGACAGAGAGAGAGAGAGAGAGAGAGAGAGAGAGAGAGAGAGAGAGAGAGAGAGACAGAGAGAGACACAGAGAGAGAGAGAGAGAGAGAGAGAGAGAGAGAGAGAGAGAGAGAGAGAGAGAGAGAGAGAGAGAGAGAGAGAGAGAGAGAGAGAGAGAGACAGAGAGAGACAGAGAGAGAGACAGAGAGAGAGAGAGAGAGAGAGAGAGAGAGAGAGAGAGAGAGAGAGAGAGAGAGAGAGAGAGAGAGAGAGAGAGAGAGAGAGAGAGACAGAGAGAGACAGAGAGAGAGAGAGAGAGAGAGAGAGAGAGAGAGAGAGAGAGAGAGAGAGAGAGAGAGAGAGAGAGAGAGAGAGAGAGAGAGAGAGAGACAGAGAGACAGAGAGACAGAGAGAGAGAGAGAGAGAGAGAGAGAGAGAGAGAGAGAGAGAGAGAGAGAGAGAGAGAGAGACAGAGAGAGAGAGAGAGTAGTGGGGAAGGGTGGAAGGTGAAGGAGAACGAGTAAATGGGCTGGGAGAGTGACAACAAAGAGAGACACGCTCACACAAGCAGCAAAAAATGTATACCACAATACAGATACAAAACTAGAAAATAAGACTGGTTCAACAGAAATTGTGAAGAGGGACAGTTAATAAAAAGAAAATAAATGGAATCAATCTACGAAGAGGCCTAACCCTCAAAATTTAATATAAATAAACGTACACGTACGGCAGTGAGAAGAGAGGCAGAAAATAGGGGGGTAGAAATAGCCTAAGCTACTCTATCCCTTTGAGATATATTTTTTCTTGTCTCAATAAACATACTTGAGCTTGAACTTAATTGAGAGGCAGAAAGAAACCTTGAGAAAAGGAGTGGCGGACTGGTCCTACATGCGCTACGCTTTCCAACTTCAGAATCGCGTTTAGATACATGGATGGTGAAATACTAAACAAATTGTTCCTGACTTTCATGAGACCAAAACTGGAATATACGTCGGTTGTATAGTGCCCATTTCTCAAGAAATACATCAACAAACTGGAAAAGACATGCTACGAAATGGCTTTTAAAACTGAAAAAAAACAATAGCTATGAGGAGAGGCTAGTCGAGGTGTTGAATATGCCAAAGCTAGAAGATCGAAGATAAAAAAAAGGCCATATGACTACTATATACGAAATAATACCAGGAATCGACAAAATTGACAAAGATAATTCTTGAAATCTGCAACTTCAAGAACAAGAGGTCTAAGGATTCAAGCTAAGGAAACAAAAGGTTCGAAAAAATTTAGAAAGTTCTCTTTTGCAAGCAGGGTGGTAGATGGTTGGACAAGCGAGATACGGTGGAGGTCAAAATCGTCAGCAGTTTCACAGCGTCATATGACAAAGAGTACCGGGAAGATGGGACACCACGATCCTTGCTCTCATCCTATAACTACATTTAGGTAGTTACACACAGCAAAAAAATGAAAATTATAATTAGCTTAATTACTATTTATCTGAAGTTGTGTTGTACATATCAACAATACAAACCACCAAATACTTTTCTGAAATACATTGATGCAAGCAACACATGCAACTTGCATGTGTTCTAATACAATATAACAATATCTTTTCACACCTTGCTGATGCTTCTTGGAGGACATATGTTTCTTTTGGCGCGCCCGAGAATTTTGGAACCATACTTGTGTCACCCTCTTGCTCAAGCCTGTCAGCTGGGCAATACGCTCCAGGTCCTGGCTGTCTGGATTGGAATCGATCTGGAAATTCGCCTGTAGAACCTGCAGCTGCTCGTCCGTAAAGGTCGTCCGGACGCGTTTGCTCTTGCGTTGGCTCCCTTCTCCGTCCGTGTTCTCTGGAACGAAAAGCCCAGCTCGCTAACGTTACAACCAATAACCAAGGCTTCCATATACCGCTGATGATGTGCGGTCTACATTTAGAAAACTAGGAAGAATTTTGTATTGTAAATATGTCCATTAACATATTCGAAACTATTTATAAACTTGATTTTGTCAAATGTTTCTTTTCAAATTTGTGTATTTGAATTAATATTATTATATTAAAAAATAATTACTGAGTTCTGTTAGATTAGGTTAGATCAAATTTTACGTTAATTTTTACTCAAATTAAACAAAAAAATGCTATATAATAGAAAGCTTTATCATTCCATAAGAATTTTTGTTAGAAAAATAAATAATTTCAGGAAAACTCGGCTTGTATAAGCAAATCCGGCCTTGCATACTAGGCCAAGTAGTGTGTTCTGGTTATTAGGTACTAATATATATATATAACGTTATAGCGTCTACATATATATATAACGTTATAAGACGTATATAACGTCTTATAGTGTCGTTATAGGGTCTTGGTGTAGCGTCTATGACTTGCTGTCGTTTGAAAGCCCCGCCCATTGATGACGTCACAGGGCAGGTAGCCAAGTCATTATTTTATCAGTTATATCCTGCAATATTTAATTATCACTAAAACTGACTATAATTTAAATGGTTGAAAAGTTCACATTTTGGATAGATTAAAGATGCAACAGAATATCATAAGCGTGGCTGGTGTGCTGTGCACTGGAGATTATATTATTATATGATGGAGCACCTCGCTGATCCCTTGCTGTGATTGGCTGACGTGGTGAATGTCAACAAAGAGTTTCTACCAATGAGATGCAAGCTCGTGGGGGTTGGGGGGGGGTGAGCTTCCTTCAGCACAACAACCAACCTTTATGGGCTGCTGTTCGCCTGTTGATAGTGCGTTGTCATGATAACAGATGGCACCACCTGTATTTTACATGCTATTTGATGTTGGCTTGTTGATAGTGCAATTTTATCCCAACAGATGGCATCAGCTGTATCTTATGAACTGCTGCTAACCTAACCTGTTGATAGTGCATTTTTCTGCAGATAGATGGCATCAGCTAATATACCTCTGAATTCTTTTGATGACCAAAGCCGTAGCTTATAAAACCTTGCTGGTTGGTGGTATTAGATATTTTTTTTTATTAATACATTTCTGGAGCTTTGCATTTACTTTATTTATTCTTGTGGATATCATCAAATTGCAAGTTTTTACAATTTGTGATTGAAGAAGACCTCTCACAGTGAATTTGGCGAGAATTTTCCAAGAAATCTGATTTAATACAAATTACAAAGCTATATAGCATAAATATTAGTAATGGTTTATACAATTTGGACCGACTCAACCTTATCTCTTGCTCAACTGATTGTTGTAAAAACTATTTGAAACTCCAAAAAGTTGTTACAAAATGAGTTTGAATATATTTAATTCCAGTCTACGTGTCATGATTTTGTGTTGGACTTATGGCCTATCAACCACCGGAGTGTTATTGCAGCTACCGCAATTTCTTAGTTACCGATTACACACCGAGAAACGGAATACACGTCTAGGTGTATATATTTGGAATATGACATCAGGAATATAATATTCCCGATGCCACATATCTTCCTCTTTACGTGTAATGTGTTTCGCTGCAATATTTGTATTTTATGAATACCTGTAGTTATATTGCTAATATATTTAACAAGCGTTGCATGGCAACTAATGTCCGTTTTACACAAACTCAAGAAAACTTAAAACTAAATTGCTTGTTATTTATGTAACACTTTTAAATCTAGCGATATTTACCAAGATTGCATGGAAATAATGTCTATACAAAACATTACGGTTTATGTATATATATATATAGAGAGAGAGAGAGGTTACAAAGTAAACACAACGTTTACACGCATGACCGCTGCCCCAGCTGAGACCCGCACGCCGTCGGGTCAACAGCAATCGACACTCATCAACTGGACACTTATAAATTAGCCAGTTAGTGCTGCTGGGTAACTAGCAGGCGAGGGACGCAGTTAGGAGACCACCACCATCAGCTAGCTAACATGTGCTGGCCGGGACACTACGGGAAGAGACCTCAGTTAGCCAGCCAGTGGTGGCGGGAACGCCGCAGGCGAGGCTGCAGGAGACCAAACCTCAACTCTGCGTCACATGTTGGCGGGTATATAGCAGGTAAGTGTCGAATATTAGTCCTTCGGGGCCGTGTGTTATTTTAACTTTTCAATCATGACTAAACCACATGTCAGAAAATGGAAAAAAAAACGATGACGTTTTGGTCCGTCCTTGGAGCGTTATCGTGTTGATATTGGTCCAGGACGGACCGAAATATCGTCGTTTTTTTCCATTCTCTGGTATGTGGTTTGGCCCATCATATCTTCAGCCATGCAGACTCATCGTCTGAGTCTGCATGGCTGAAGACTCATCGTCTGAGTCTGCATGGCTGAAGACTCATCGTCTGAGTCTGCATGGCTGAAGACTCATCGTCTGAGTCTGCATGGCTGAAGACTCATCGTCTGCATCTGTTCACTCAACTGGTGAAGATATTAGCCCCGCTGGTTGGTGCTCCCAGCTGGGCGCTGCCTCGACCAACACCGTTCGTATTGGCCTTTGGTGTTTTAGATGTCTAGAACTATTATGGCTCTTGCACTACCTCGTCCGGCGTGTACGTGTTTTAAGTACAAAGTCGGCACTCGCCGCATCTTCAGGATATCCTCATAATGCACCCAGAGTCTGCCAGTGCAGACTACTTATCACATTAGGACCTGCCCGAAATAGTGGCTTTGTGTAATAGTGGCTTTAGGCATTGTATGTACTAGCTCTATCTATAAATCGATCAATTTTTGTAAAATCTCTTGTATCTTACCTGAATAAAATCTCTTGTACCTTACCTGAATAAACATTTATTTATTTATTTATTTATTTATTTATTTATTTATTTAAACATGCCTCTGTATGACTAACCACCCTGTGTAATGGGGATTTTTGTTAGCATCACGTAGCTAGCTTTTTGACACACTGTACACCCCTTCATATAGTCTAGGGCAGCTGCAGAAATGCAAATGTACCTAAATGTCTTGATAAAAAATAAAATCTTCAGGCTACGTTCGTACGAGCAGCGTCAAACCCTAAACATGTATTGGTCACTATTTTCTGGAGAATAAATTAATATTATTGTATATTATAATTTGGGGTGTAGATAGGCCTGAGATAGGTAAATTGTTTAGGTTCTATTAGCAATTATTTGTATTTTCAGTCATGGTTGTATTATTTAACGGACAAATAGGAAGTGAGCAAAGCATTCTTCGGTAAAAGTTAGACTGTCATCTGCGTTAGTTATCTTGAGATGATTTCGGGGCTTAGCGTCCCCGCGGCCCGGTCCTCAACCAGGCCTCCTTTTTGTTACTCACCCCCCAGGAAGCAGCCCGTAGCAGCTGTCTAACTCTCAGGTACTATTTACTGCTAGGTAACATGGGCATCAGGGTGAAAGAAACATTTTACCCATTTGTCTCAGCTCCACCGGGGATTGAACCCCGGTGGACAGAAGATATCTGTCATCTACGGTTACTACGAATCTATTGTCTTCAGGCCAGGATCGTTAAAGCGGCGTTCGTCTCCCCCCTCCCTCATTCCCCAAACGCATTCGGCTATATTAACATATCGTGTAATAAAATAGTTTATTCTCATATATGTTAATATTATTATATATAAGTTGTGTGTATAGTTTGGCGTAGGTTAGGTTAGGTGTTTAGGAACGTTCGTGATTATTTGGGTGAAGCATTTACAGCACTGTTTTTCGAACAGAGGTCGTCAGCAGAACATTATCTTAGAACTGAACGGCATCAGTTGTGACTCCTATGTAAACAATTTTTCAATCATAAGCAGAGGGGGTTTGGCGGCTGGATTAACGAGGATTTGGTCTTAATTGAAGAGGACCGGCTGTCATAAGGTAGGTTTTTATTATTATTATTATTATTTTCTACCACAGACGTGGCCACACATTTACAATGCTAACTAGCATATATACATTTTCTTCTGTCCTCCATGGACAGGGGGGAAAATTTGTCAAACATATGAGGTAGGTGTCAGGAGGTGTCAGGAACATTAGGTTCGATGCATGCTCACGTTTATTTATTAACATCTTAAGGCATAATTGTAGATTTTGTCAATAATGTAATTCAAGTCGGTCTTCTACAGCGAGGTGCTGCTCGTATTCACTACCACATAGGACAGAGGAACATACACATGGCAAGAAGTCTAAATTGTAGATTGAAGCACATACATTTTTCGCGAGGTTACAGTCTACTGTATAGTTCGCTAACGAATTTTAAACCCAGCCTAATTGATCTTAGGCTATCCTAACCTAATCCAAATATTATTTGTAATTCGGGCCTATCATGGCCACAATATAACCATTAACAAGTGCTCCGTTTATAATTCGTTAATTTAGCTGGCAAATCTTTTAAGACAAATAGTAAACGGACTTAAGAAAATAAAAATTCTAATTATGAAATTATCTTCAACGTAATATTCTTGGAAAAGATGGGAGCCGTTCAGAGGAAGAAGGGGAAACGATAAAGAGAAGAGAACCAAAGTAGTGTAGATGAGTGAACAAGACAAGGAATAGTATGCAATGGATCAATAAAGGCAGTGAAAATGTGAGTGGTGGCGAGGAAGGGGATGATGCATTAATTGTTTCAATTCTCTTGACAATGGAACACCCGTTTCCTCCTGGGCGCGAGAATTATGCTCCGGTCTTCACTTGTTTTTAAACCATCGGGAAGTAAAGTGTTAATTCAATAGTTTTCCGCGGAGGCGATTATTTTTATTCGTGCATGTGAAGTCTCGACGTAGCCTCAGAGGGAATTTTGTTATTATCTGTCTCGAAGGTAAGCAAGCCCGACCTCTTCCACGGAATATGAAACATAAATTTCGGACTAAATTCTGCAAACTTAATTCGTTTTGTCGGGGACGGGAAGCTTGTATATATATATATATATATATATATATATATATATATATATATATATATATATATATATATATATATATATATATATATTAGTATATTTTGGTAGCAGTCTTTCCTGTAGACATATTTTATTAAATATGACCGAAAAAGTAAGATTAATAATTCTAACACGAATTTTCTCAATCTTTCGTACATTATGCTTCACTGTTGGAGGTAAATCAAAAATCACTTCTCCAAAATTCATTTTTATTTCTAGTCTGACGCGACACGGGCGCGTTTCGTAAAACTTATTACATTTTCAAAGACTTCACAAATACACAACTGATTAGAACTTGCGTTTCCCTGATTTTATATCTACATTTGAGTGAGGTGGGAAGGGTGATGTGGCATTACATTTGAGTGAGGTGGGAAGGATGATGTGGCATTAGAGAATATTAATAGGGTATTAAAAGTATCAACACAAGACAGAACACGAAACAATGGATATTGAATAGAAGTGTTTGTAGAAAGCCTATTGGTCCATATTTCTTGATGCTTCTATATTGGAGCGGAGTCTTGAGGTGGGTAGAATATAGTTGTGCAATAATTGGCTGTTGATTGCTGGTGTTGACTTCTTGATGTGTAGTGCCTCACAAACGTCAAGCCGCCTGCTATCGCTGTATCTATCGATGATTTCTGTGTTGTTTACTAGGATTTCTCTGGCGATGGTTTGGTTATGGGAAGAGATTATATGTTCCTTAATGGAGCCCTGTTGTTTATGCATCGTTAAACGCCTAGAAAGAGATGTTGTTGTCTTGCCTATATACTGGGTTTTTTGGAGCTTACAGTCCCCAAGTGGGCATTTGAAGGCATAGACGACGTTAGTCTCTTTTAAAGCGTTCTGTTTCGTGTCTGGAGAGTTTCTCATGAGTAGGCTGGCCGTTTTTCTGGTTTTATAGTAAATCGTCAGTTGTATCCTCTGATTTTTGTCTGTAGGGATAACGTTTCTATTAACAATATCTTTCAGGACCCTTTCCTCTGTTTTATGAGCTGTGGAAAAGAAGTTCCTGTAAAATAGTCTAATAGGGGGTATAGGTGTTGTGTTAGTTGTCTCTTCGGAGGTTGCATGGCTTTTCACTTTCCTTCTTATGATGTCTTCGATGAAACCATTGGAGAAGCCGTTATTGACTAGAACCTGCCTTACCCTACAGAGTTCTTCGTCGACTTGCTTCCATTCTGAGCTGTGGCTGAGAGCACGGTCGACGTATGCGTTAACAACACTCCTCTTGTACCTGTCAGGGCAGTCGCTGTTGGCATTTAGGCACATTCCTATGTTTGTTTCCTTTGTGTAGACTGCAGTGTGGAAACCTCCGCCCTTTTCCATGACTGTTACATCTAGAAAAGGCAGCTTCCCATCCTTTTCCGTCTCGTAAGTGAAACGCAGCACGGAACTCTGCTCAAATGCCTCCTTCAGCTCCTGCAGATGTCTGACATCAGGTACCTGTGTAAAAATGTCGTCAACATACCTGCAGTATATGGCCGGTTTCAAGTTCATGTCGACTAAGACTTTTTGCTCGATGGTACCCATGTAGAAGTTTGCAAACAGGACACCTAGGGGAGAACCCATAGCGACCCCATCTACTTGCTTATACATATGCCCATCCGGGCTCAAGAAGGGTGCCTCTTTAGTACAAGCTTGGAGTAGTTTCCTCAGAATACTTTCTGGCATGTCAAGAGGAGTACAGGCTGGATCACGATACACTCTGTCGGCTATCATTCCGATTGTCTCGTCCACAGGTACGTTGGTAAACAGCGATTCTACGTCCAACGAGGCTCTTATCCCTGTGGCCCGTGCGCCCCGCAGTAAGTCCACAAATTCCTTTGGAGACTTCAGGCTGAAGGCGCAAGGAACATAAGGAGTCAGCAGGCCGTTGAGTCGCTTTGCCAATCTGTACGTGGGTGTGGGTATCTGGCTAATGATTGGCCGAAGTGGGTTTCCAGGCTTGTGCGTCTTGACATTTCCATACGCATATCCAGGTTTATATTCCCCAATGATCTTTGGCAGGTGGAGTCCGGATTTCTTGGCGTTCACAGTTTCGATCAGTTTGTTGACCTTTGCTTTTAATTCGGCTGTATTATTTTAATTCGGCTTCTCCAATGGTTTCATCGAAGACATCATAAGAAGGAAAGTGAAAAGCCATGCAACCTCCGAAGAGACAACTAACACAACACCTATACCCCCTATTAGACTATTTTACAGGAACTTCTTTTCCACAGCTCATAAAACAGAGGAAAGGGTCCTGAAAGATATTGTTAATAGAAACGTTATCCCTACAGACAAAAATCAGAGGATACAACTGACGATTTACTATAAAACCAGAAAAACGGCCAGCCTACTCATGAGAAACTCTCCAGACACGAAACAGAACGCTTTAAAAGAGACTAACGTCGTCTATGCCTTCAAATGCCCACTTGGGGACTGTAAGCTCCAAAAAACCCAGTATATAGGCAAGACAACAACATCTCTTTCTAGGCGTTTAACGATGCATAAACAACAGGGCTCCATTAAGGAACATATAATCTCTTCCCATAACCAAACCATCGCCAGAGAAATCCTAGTAAACAACACAGAAATCATCGATAGATACAGCGATAGCAGGCGGCTTGACGTTTGCGAGGCACTACACATCAAGAAGTCAACACCAGCAATCAACAGCCAATTATTGCACAACTATATTCTACCCACCTCAAGACTCCGCTCCAATATAGAAGCATCAAGAAATATGGACCAATAGGCTTTCTACAAACACTTCTATTCAATATCCATTGTTTCGTGTTCTGTCTTGTGTTGATACTTTTAATACCCTATTAATATTCTCTAATGCCACATCATCCTTCCCACCTCACTCAAATGTAATGCCACATCACCCTTCCCACCTCACTCAAATGTAGATATAAAATCAGGGAAACGCAAGTTCTAATCAGTTGTGTATTTGTGAAGTCTTTGAAAATGTAATAAGTTTTACGAAACGCGCCCGTGTCGCGTCAGACTAGAAATAAAAATGAATTTTGGAGAAGTGATTTTTGATTTACCTCCAACAGTGAAGCATAATGTACGAAAGATTGAGAAAATTCGTGTTAGAATTATTAATCTTACTTTTTCGGTCATATTTAATAAAATATATATATATATATATATATATATATATATATATATATATATATATATATATATATATATATATATATATATATACAGTGCCACCTCTTGGGTGGCTTAATCTTTATCAATCAATCAATCCTCAGGCTATGGTCATTCCATCCAGTGGTCGACCCCCAAAGACGGACGCATTCATCAAATTTAACATGCTGTTCATTTAAAATATGAATTTTCTCGGATATATAATAATATTATATATTAGCATATTTAGGCGTAGGTTAGGTGTCGCGTTTAGGTTCTGTTGGCAATTATTTGTATTTGTAGTACGTGGGTGAAGCACCTAAAGAGTTGTAATTCGAACAGAGGTAGTGAAGTACTGTTTCGAGAAACGTTCGAATATCAGTTGAGTTTTGCGTAAAGCAATCTGTCCTCATCAACAAAGGCCAGTTTATTGTTGACCAGACCACACACTAGAAAGTGAAGGGACGACAACATTTCGGTCCGTCCTGGAGCCATTCTCGAGTCGATTGTAGTGCTTGTGATGAACAAGCACCAGTTTTTCTGGTGTTTGTTTACAAACGGATAGTCTACCTTGTGTTTTTGTTTACAAACGGATAGTCTACATTGTGTTTCATACAAATGTGAAGTGAGGCTTCTTGTACCAATACTCACCGTCATTACTAGTGGCGCCGCCCTCGATGGACTCGAGGTAGTGCTGCTTACAGAGGACGCGGTTGTCGTGTAGGGCGAACTCCTCCCCGGTGCTGAGTTGTCGCTTGCAGGCGTCGCAGGCGAAGCAGGCGAGGTGGTAGACGCGGTCTCTAGCTCTCCGGACCCAGTCTGCCGCCCCGATGCTTCGACAACACTTGGCACATCGCGCACCGAAGTTTCTGCCGGCGAAAAGTTGCGATTTAGTCAAGTTCTCATTAATTTGGTCCGTGGACAACTTGTAACTTAGTGAAATGAGCATTAATATGTCACGGAAAGGTTTACGTTGATTTAAATTTGAGTAATGAGAAGTGCTCAATATTTTAAAGTGCACAAGCTATTGATTGATGAAGATTAAGCCACCTAAGAGGTGGCACGGGCATGAATAGCCCGTAAGCACAAACTATTAAATTTCTACACATTATGAAAATGCATCACCATGAATGTCGAACAAAGCTACACAGGTCCTCAGTATACCTCTCGCTCCGATCTTTAACGACGGAAGAGTTGCCCAACAGCTGGAAGACGGTAAATGTGTTATCAGTAAACAAGAAAGGGGACAGGTAAGAGGCGCTGAACTACCTCGACCAATGTCACGGACACGTACACTTTACGACGTACGTGTCTCATAATAAAGATATGACCAGTAGAACATATAGACAGAATTATAATTGTAAACAAACGCCAACGTGGCTTTAGGAAAGGAAAATCGTGCCTAAAAACCTATATAAGTTCTACGACAAACCTCCAATAACGCAGGACAGGAAAAAGATGTATATTTCTAGATTGCCAAACAGGCTTTTGAAAAGTTCCGCATAAAAGACAGCTACACAAACTTGAGAAACAGGCGGGAGTCATCTGAGTACCGGAATGGGCGAGAGAGTACCTAACAGACATGAGACAAGAGTGTCACAGTGAGGGATGAGAAGCTAGCTTAGTGTAAGGTAACAAGTGGAGATCCTCAAGGATCGGTCCTAGGAACCCTACACATCAATATCAGTGACCTAACTATGAGGATAGGGTCCTACATGTCAGTGTTTACAGATTAATTAAAAATTAACGAGAAGAGGCGCCACAGATGAAGACTGCAGTATACATCAAGAAGATATAAACAGAATTCGTTCGAGAAATGGCTACTGAAATTTAATAATAGCAAGTGTAAGATGATGAAGTGAAAATAGAAGTGATGAAAATAGAGAACACCAGCATGACGGTGCATAAAGAAGAGCAACCACCTCCCTAAAACAACTAAAGAAAAAGACTTATGAATTGATGTAAAGTAATATAGAATAACCCCAGAGACACATAAAAATATAATAACGTCAGCATCATATTCAAAACTGGGGAATATCAGAAGAGCCTTCAGGAACCTCAAAAAAAGGAGACATTCAATACTCAATACACCACCTACGTGAGACCAGTCCTAAGGTATGCAACCCTTGCCTAGAATACCAACCTTAAAAAGTCTACGAGGAAACTTGAAAAGGTATAGGATATTGCAGCGAAGCTCGTACCAGAATCACGTTTGGTGATGTATGAAATAAAATTATAAATGGCTGCTAAACGACATTAGAATATGGGAGAGAGAGAAGACTTGATACAGACTTAAAATAGGGCAATAGGCAAAATGGATAATATAAAATATTCTAAATTAATACAGTAGAACAATAAAGCACAGATTCCTCATCAGAAGCGATAATAAATAAATAAATAATATATATATATGTGTATTAGCATAAGAGTAGTAAGAAAATAGAATTAGCCAGAGAGGGGAGGCAGGAAAAGCCAACTACAAGTTAGTTTACCTCTTGCTACACGCCTAAATATGTGAATACGCACATATACAAAATCCACATCTACAACAAGACATCGTCCAAGCAGCTCCAGACACGGACAAACATTTCCCTGTGGTAGTGTAGGACGTAGACACCAACACACAGCATGATGTATGACCCCACTTGCGGCCCTGAGTGGCGCGACACAGCCCTGATGTATCGACGGACCCCCACCTCTCCGCCCTCAAAAAGAACCCGCATTACTGACCTAATTGGACGTATTTGTAAACAAGCGGCACCCCAGCACACGGATCAATATCAGTACACGGGGCCCAGCGAATATGTAACGCCCAAACGTCTCGACTGTCACAAGAGATCCCCTGCGGTCGATCGTCACGGTATGTTTCTCGCTACGGTATTTGGTGTCAACGAGTCGTGTAGAGGTATTTCGTGCCTCCGGGTCGTGTAGAGTTGTTTCGTGCCTCCGGGTTGTGTAGAGGTGTTTCGTGCCTCCGGGTCGTGTAGAGGTGTTTCGTGCCTCCGGGTCGTGTAGAGGTGTTTCGTGCCTCCGGGTCGTGTAGAGGTGTTTCGTGCCTCCGGGTCGTGTAGAGGTATTTCGTGCCTCCGGGTCGTGTAGAGGTGTTTCGTGCCTCCGGGTCGTGTAGAGGTATTTCGTACCTCCGGGTCGTGTAGAGGTATTTCGTACCTCCGGGTCGTGTAGAGGTATTTTGTACCTCCGAATCGTCAAAGGATGATGAAAGAACATACAATTGACTTCTCAGTTATGCGCTCTTATTTCCGATTCGTCCATTGAACCAATGCTGTAGTTACTATTCTTCAATGCGTTTATAATATTTTTGGGATGAGTCTGAGCCACTCACACTTGACAGCATACTTGATACACTGTGTTGTGTGTGGGTTCTGCACCTCGCTCCTCATTCACGGGGAACTTATATTTACATTATAATTTGGTATTGGGTCATAGGCTTCACCAACCGCGGGAGATTGGGGGAAGAGGCTTTTTTTTATTATTATTTTCTACCACAGACGTGGCCACACGTTTACAATGCTAAGCAGAATATATATATTTTTCTTCTGTCCTCCATGGACAGGGTTAGAGAAGTGTTAAACATACAGCTCAGGGATTTATTGAACAATCAACCACAGAAGGTGATTGTAGTGCTTTTAAAATTGCTAGGCTAAGCTACATGTGTAAATACATAGATACACAGATTTATGTATGCTGCATAAAGTGTTCGATGTGTCTTTTACATAGTGTCATTAATGTGGAGGGAGAGGCGTGTAGGCCACCACAAATTTACTGACCATCCAGGAAGTATCCTTTGGTCCTGAATATGGTTCAGGAGTGAAGTAAACTCAGCGGATATACACCAAGATGGGTATACCACTCGGTGTACATATTCAAGTCGGTTTAACATTTTCACTGGTGACAGAGCAGCCCTCGAATGTGGTCCAGTGCCCATCGAATCGTTTTGAATTCAAGCATATCAATAATTACGCAATAAGAACGTTATGTAACTGCAGTACAAACATACATTTATATACAGTATATACACTTATACCTCACTGAAGCGAAAAAAATACGTGCTAGAAAGAACATTCGTATTATGAGTCAGTCATTTAAGATATTTTTGTAAATTGTAAATACTCTTAGATCATAAAAAAAAACTGCAGAAGGCCTATTGGCTTATACACAACAGCTCCAGTTTATATCCACTCAAACTCATTCATACACGTCTAGTCTACGCTGGAAATAATTCAGGGATCCCACGTGTATTACGCTACCCGGACATATATTTAAATATTTTATGAGGTCTGAAGCACCACGAGGCTGATTATAACAATAATAATCTTGGGGTTTTCAAGTTTCGACGCTCGTAAACTGTTTGATAAAACTACGCGTGGAAAACGTGTTTGTTCCCAGATTGATTTATTTGAGAAGTGATCAGTTAGTCGTCGTCCCTTCACTTTCTAGTGTGTGGTTTGGTCAACATATTTCTTCAGCGTTATTGTGACTCCTCGTCTGCAAGTGCTCAGGAGTTAGGCATCTGTTGTGGGTGGCATCCTGGGGAGGGTTTGTAGTTGATCTGGTGAAGCGGAGGGGGTAGGGGGGGGGGGGTTAGGGGGCTCTCGATAAGCCTATTAGACTTCCTGTTCCAATCAGACATATATTACAACCCATTTTCCAGAAATGATTGTATCTACACGCAATTATATATGTGAAATGTACAAAAGCTAGCCTGTTGTACCCCCAAAAAAGTCCACGTTTTGTACAATTAGCAAAATGTAAGGCATAAAACTGAAACAGCCTAACCATAAATCTAACCTAACCTACCCTAGGCCAAAATAAGCACTGACTGTTATCTGTTCCCACGAAGAATTGAAGTCTTACACATTTCATCTGAAGTTTGGTGGGGGATTAAATTCATGTCTATGAATTTTCCCATCAGTATACATTTTCTTCCATTGAAGAGTAATGTGCAAGTCGGATGATAACCGGATGGCGCTATTCTCGATTTTTGTGTACAGTGTTTAAACCTGATTCTCATTAGATATAAACTCGTGGAGGGTATCCTGTGGCACAGCGGTCAGCGTCCTTGGCTCACAACCGAAGGATGCAGACGAGGAGTCATAATAACGTGACTGAAATATGTTGACCAAACCACACACTAGAAAGTGAAGCGACGACGACGTTTCGGTCCGTCCTGGACCATTCTCAAGTCGATTGTATCGATTGAAAGACCATTCTCAGGGCTTTCACCTGCTGCATCGGTTCACCTAGGCACCTGGGAGTTAGGCAACGGTTGTGGGTCCTACAGGGACTTCGATAAGCTTAACAGACTTCCTCTTTCCCCGACAACGGGAAATATAAAGCCCTGTTGGACCTTGCATGATCGACAACACCACTAAGCGTCTTCGTGTGGAAACTTTTAAGTTAAATAGAAATAGTAATTCTTCACCGACAGCAATAATTTAGTTCATTCTCGACATTAAATTTAGGCTATCATAGGGCAGCCGCTCCACTTTGCTCGTGGTGATTTTGAGAGATTTGATTTGTTCGTTCATGTAAACTGATTTTTACAATAATTTTGTCATTGTTAAAACTTCTTGAATTATTTGTTGTTCGTGTCAAATATATATAAGGAATTGATTGTGGTTTGTTCATCTCAAGACGAGAGGATTAAGATGACTGAAAGAAAGGACTATTGTTGTCTCCGAAGCGATGCGAGTCTAAGGATTATGAATTGGATGAGGGAAGAGAAGTAGGAGTGTGTGAGGTAAATCAGGTCAACAGAGGTTAAGTGCAATAAGATGAGATATAAGAAGATATATCTTAACATGAATGGGAGGCTAATTAGTTGCGTTCATCACAGGTGATGGCGCCG